TTTGGCGATTGCATCGCATCAGACCCAAGTGTTCAGACTGCGTGTTGAGCTCCGTATCAATACGCTACCGGTTGCGCGTTGCGTATCGGGGCAGCTAGGGTGGGAGGAGTAGGAGGGCTACGTGGACGGCCCTCATTACTCCCACCCCGTCGGCAGTACCGCCGTCAGTGCCGCCGTCAGTGCCGTCGTCGTCGTCGTCGACGTCGCCGTCGTCGTCAGTGCCGTCGTCGCCGCCGCCGTCAGTGCCGTCGTCTTGCCGCCGGCGCCCGGCGCAGGCTCGAAGGCCGCCGCGAAGGCAAAGGCCGCCAAGGCCAAGGCGAAGGCGCCGGACGCCGCGGGCCGCCGCCGCCGCGGACGTCGCAGCCGTCGCCGTCGCCGCTGTCCTCCCCATGTTTTCCTTGTCCTCCTCCTCGTCCGCCGCCTCCTCCTCCTCGTCGTCCTCCTCCTCCTCATTCTCCTCCCCCCCATCCTCACCCTCCTCCTCCTCCTCCTGCTTCTCCTCCTTTCGGTTTTTGACTTCGGATTTGCCAGGCCCTTCGGTTGCCGGGCCCTCCACGGCCCCTGGGATTGTTGGCAAACGACTCGGGATGAGAAGTTTGTCCTTGGGCAGGGCCCTGGGGTCCAGGGCAAGCATACCTCAGGACCCGTTCCCTTCAAGCTAATTGCTCTGGCGAAGATCGCCACGGCAGTCGCGGCCGGTGGGGATCCTCCTACAGTGGGGGCCCATGCCAAGAGACACCCAGCTAGCCTTCCAGGGTGCCTTGGGTTTCTTGGGTTTCGACGGCTTTGCGATGGAGAGCGCGACGCTCCCGCACCATAAATCCATGGACGTCCTGAGGTCTCAGGGTTGGGTTTCTTCGGATGCAACTCCTGGAAGGTCAAATTCTGATTCAGCCCTGGTCCGAAATCCGGCTCAATCCGGCTCAATCCCGCTGAATCTGGTTGAATCCCGTTTAATCCCGCTCAATCCGGCGCAATCCCGCCGAATCCGAGGCCCCCTCCGGCGTAACAGCCCCCCCACGGGGCTTCCTCCTCCTCGATCCTTCCGACGAAGATCTCCCGGCAGTTGCCTCCGAAGGGTTCCTATGGAAGGTGTCTTGTGGAGCGGCCTCCACCTGCTTGGCATGGGTTGGGCGCGCAGGGCCGGGCCAGCGTCGCCCGGGCCCGGGGGGGCAGGCGGGGCCGTCCAGACTGGACTACTCTGTGTCCCTCCATAGTTCTGGGGGTACCTGTAGTCCGGGGGGGGTACCTGTAGTCCGGGGGGGGGGTACCTGTAGTCCCGGGGGGGGGTACCTCTAGTCCGGGGGGGGGGGGTAGGGGGGGGGGGTACTTGTAGTCCGGGGGGGGTACCTGTAGTCCGGGGGGGGTACTTGTAGTCCGGGGGGGGGTACCTGTAGTCCGGGGGGGGGGGTACCTGTAGTCCGGGGGGGCGCGCATGGGGGTACTTGTAGTCCAGGGGGGGGGGGGGGGGCATATGGTCATGCCTCAAAGCACGCGTGGTTCCACGCACGCGGGTGTTTAGTACTTACGCGCGCGGGACCTCACGCGCATCGTTGCACACGACACGCCCGCGCGCACGCGCGCATGCACGCGCAGACTCACACGCACGCGCGCACGCGCGCACGCAACCGCACGGAACCGCACACACGCACACGCAAGCACACACGCACGCACACGCGCGCACGCACAGACACTCTGTATCATGACAATGACAACTTTCCAGATATTGCATGATTTACTTGTAGTTCCTGGGGGGCCTGTAGTTCCAGGGGCTAAGGGGGGTCCCTGTAGTCCGGGGGGGGTACCTGTAGTCCGGGGGGTAACTGTAGTCCGGGGGGGGGGTACCTGTAGTCCGGGGGGGGTATCTGTAGTCCGGGGGGGGGTACCTGTAGTCCGGGGGAGGGGTACTTGTAGTCCGGGGGGTACCTCTAGTCCGGGGCCCCCAAACTATTGAGGGACACAGAGTGCAGTCGGGCTTCTCCTTCTCCACGAGGAATGTTCAAAAGATGGTCAACAAAATAATCTGGGGCCGAGTTCTGGGTATTTCGTTGGCTATTTTTTAGTATTGCTTGAATATCTAAAGTTTTCCTCCGAAATCCGCCTGTAGGGGGACATGCCCGACCGAGGTCTAGCCCGGCGGCGCCCGTCGAGGTCGGCTCCCCGCCCGCAACAGGGGGCGGAGTCCGCCTCCAAGGTTGAGTCGGGCAGGTCCCTCTCAGGCGGAGTATTCAAAACTGGTCAAACAGAATGTCTGGGGGCGATTGCGTTCGTATGTTGGCGTGTTGTTTGAATCTGTTCTGGCTACGTTTAAAATATCGTCAGAAATCCGCCTGCAGGAGGGCACGCCCGACCCAAGCCTGGATGGCCTAGCCCGGCGGCGCCCGTCGAGGTCGGGCCTGGGGCTGGCTGGCGCGGCTCCCCGCCCGCAACACTGGGGGGAGCCCGCCTCCAGGGTACAGTGGAGGCCGGTCCACAAGACACTTTCCACAGGAAACCCCAACCCTGAGACCCCAGGACGTCCACTGAGTTTTGGTGTGGGAGCGTCGCGCTCTCTATCGCAAAACCATCGAAACCCAAGAAACACAGGGCGCCCTGGAGGCAAGCAGGGTGTGTCTTGGCATGGGCCCCCACGGTGCGGCGGCAGAGACTCGGAGGCGGAGGAGGATGAGGGAACCAGACCGCCACCCCTCCTCCGTTCTGGGCCTCCTAGGAGACCCTGGTCGCCACCGCTAGGTTCGCCTCGAGATTCTGGTCAGAGGGCACCCCTGGAGGGGTCTGGGGAGTCGCGGTATCGGTACCTTTTGGTTTCCGCAGAGACGGCCTGGGTCCTGAGGAGTGGGCGCCCCAGGGGGGGGCGATTCAAACCGCCGGCCGGGCGGGGGAGGGCGGCACAGACGGCCGAGCCAAGGCCACCAGCGCCCCCACCTTCAAGGGTTCCACCGTAGCCTTGGGAGGCCGTCGGTTGGCCTGTGTGTTGCCATCTTGGCAGTGTGCACCACACGGCTTGCGCCACGCTGCTCCGTAAGTCCTTCCACAGTTGCTCCTCCGGCGCCCCTCGTGAACCCAGGCGCGGTTGGGGTCCAGACCCGGCGATCATCGGCACGATCCAAACGGGCAAGGGAAGAATGATGACGGAGGGCGACAGCAGTTCCTGTCCATTCTGAACATGACTCGTTGTCGGTGTCGCCGCGGACGTTGTCCACTTGAGGCAGTCGCCTGCCCACCAGCTGTCGGTTTGGGACACCAGTTCCTGTTGGGCATCATGCGATTTCTCTCCTGTGCCCATTTCGGGCGGTTCAGAGTGAGGTATTTCAAGGCGCGCAGCACCGGCCCGAAGCTCGCCCTCCTTCCACTTCGCTCCCTCCGCGGCCAAGTTTAGCGTGCTGGCGACACGCACTGTCTGGAATTACCATCTGGGCGGAGAGCGTTGGATGAGCTTGCGTTTGTTCCCTGTACGCGCAGTTTCTAGCCTCGCGTGCGGTACAGCTTTCAGCGGCGAAAACGGCATCTTCGACCATGACATCGGAGGTCGACTGATCATTGCCACTCTATGGAACTTTGTGGTGCTTATAGCGGCGCGTCGCCATGGACCGCCGAAGTTGTTGACACCACGTTGATTCTAGCTAATGGAGGCGAGGGCTTCAATCTGGTTGGCACGGCGCTCACGTCATCGCACTCATCATCGTCATCACGCTCATCTGCAATGTTGTCATACGGCCCCACCTCTGGAGAACCGTATGCTCTCACGTCTGTTGTATCCTGTCAACGTGTCTCTCTTGGTGCAGTGGCGGCCGAGACTCAACGTCTAAGCAGTTGCCTGCGATATGATATACACAGCAGCCCATCTTGAGAAAAAGGATGCCGACAAAGCGGCGGGACTCGAACTGATTCGGCATATTCGAGCATCCGTGTGCACGCCTACCTTAGGCGGTAAAGAATGCTAGCGGGTTCATCCAGCTTGTTTTGCTCGAAGCTCGTGTCTTGGTGGACCATGCACGATGTGTAATTCCGAGTCTCAGATCCTGACCGGGTCACGTCCCGCGCTCTACCTGAAAATTGGACACAGATGATGTGACCAGTTTGATAGAGAGGTCCTCCTCCTCCTCCTCCTCCTCCTCCTCCTCCTCCTCCTCCTCCTCCTCGCCAGATGATCTTCCAGCGCTGAGCCCTCCAGTGGCCGTGCACGCCGGGCTCCCGCACCGCATCCAGCGCGTGGTTTCCGCGCAATTTTGTCCAGCGCGAGCTTCCGCCTCTGACCGGTCCACGCTCCGCGTGCTGCAGCAGTTGCGAGTGGGTTTGGGCGTAGCGCCCCGCAGGGGGCCAATCGAGCCCACTCGACGAGGAAGAGAAGCAGGACGGGTGCCTTCCACCGAGGGAAGGGGGAAGAAAGACATGCACAAAGAAACGTCGGTTCCCAGGAGCATGTTGGGAAATAGAGAGAGTGGAGGAGAAGACGAAACTCCAGAGCATATGCAAAACAAATATAGGGAAACTTTGGATGTGTGTCTACTTATTTGTGTATCGCTGGGCCTCCTCATCCACCGAGGGAGGCTGATCCCGATCTCGGCAATGGTGGTACCATTTGGGCTTCTTATCGGCGGCGAGCCCGGGGGGAAGTGTCAATGGGCGGGCCTTCTCAGAAGATTCCGACGTCCCCCGGCCGTCTGAGAAGTTCCATAAGCTTTCCCCGAAGACGCGGACAACTGCTCAGAAGGCGCGAGGGCTTCTGAGAAGTCCCGCCGCCTTTTGAGAGGGCCTTCTCTCAGGAGGGAGAGAAACACACAGACACAATTAATCGTCGATTCCCCAGCAAATATGGGAAAATATGGGAAGTGTGGGGGGGGGAAGACGAAAACCCCCAACAATGTTGGAACATCTGGGGAAGATGTTTAGTTGTGTGTATGCATATTTGTGTGTATGTGTGTCCTTGGGCCCCTTCGTTCTCCTCCTCGCTACCCCCCCTCGCTCGCCGCCGACCCTCGAGGAGCACCGAGGAGCCTCCCTCGCGACACCAAAAAGAAAATGCCCGCGCGCGGGGCCGCAGCAGACTCTCTGCGCGAGGCGTGGAGGCCCGAGCGACCTGGCAGCCTCTGGTCGCCTCCTCGTTGTGCGTGTGGCTCCCAAGGGCGCCCCTCGAGGGCGCGAAGCTGTTCGCGCTTCGCGGGTGCGGCTCCTCCTCTTCCTCCTCTTCTCCCCTGGGAGGCGGCGCGAGAGCGCGGAGTCGTTCGCACTTCGCGCTTCCCATCGGGGGCCCCCAGACGGGGGCCCCCAGATGGGGTGGTGACCGCACCGTGCGGTGAGTCGGTGGGGATTCGGGGTCACCGCACGGTTTGGGGACTCGGGTCCTTCTCCGAGGACGTCTCGGGCGACTGGGGCCTCCGAGGTCCCAAGACCGTGCGGTGACGGACCGTGCGGTGAGGTCTTGGGGGATTTCGAGGTCACCGCACGGTCTGTCACCGCACCGCTTCGGGACTCCAAAGATTATGATGTTCCGGCCTGCTGTAGCCTTGACCACCAGAGAGAGTTTCGAGCACCGGGAAGTGCCGAAGCTGGAGGGTTTTCACGCGTCGGGGGCGACACTCGTTCGACGCCGTTTCGATACCCGTCCGGGTGCTCGAGATGAATTTCTGGGAGGTGCTCCTGAAGTACGACGGATCTCCCTGGGATTTGTGTCTGTTTTGTGGTCTGTCCCTGGGCCCCTTCACAGTCGCCCGCCCCGAGCTTGCCCCGCCCTCGCGTCGTGCGCGTCCCCCCCTCCGCGCGCGACCGCGCGCGCCGAAGGCGAGCGGCGCCAGCGCCGAGGCGGCCGCCTCGGCGCCTCCCGCCGCCGACGCGTCGCCAGAGGCGGCGCGGGGGCGGCGGCGACGATCGGGACCCCAAAACGGTGTGCGCACCAGCAACTATATGCAGGCCTGGAGTGTCCTCCTCCTCCTCCTCCTCCTCCTCCTCCTCCTCCTCCTCCTCCTCCTCCTCCTCCTCCTCCTCCTCCTCCTCCTGTGACCACACCGCGTGGTGAGTCCATGGGAACATCGAAAGAACACACGGAACCCGTGCCCGGGGTGCCTGGATCGTCCTGAGCGTCCCAGCAGCTGCGCCTCCTCCTTCTCCTCCTCCTCCTCCTCCTCCTCCCCTCCTCCTCCTCCTCCTCCTCCTCCTCCCCTCGCCGAGGGTGTTGTGGGGGTGCCTGGATCGTCCTGAGCGCCGCTGGAGGCCCGAGTTTTGGCCCTAGCCCCTTCGGAGGAGGGCCGGTGTGTCCATCCTCCTCCTCCTCCTTCTCCTCCTCCTCCTCCTCCTCCTCCTCCTCCTCCTCCTCCTCCTCCTCCTCCTCCTCCTCCGTCCTCCTCCTCTCTCTCCCTCCTCCTCCCCTCCTCCCTCTCCCTCCACTCCCCTCCTCCCCCCTCCCTCCTCTCCTCCCTCCTCCCTCCTCCCTCCCCCTCCTCCCTCTCCCTCCTCCCTCCCTCCCTTCCCTCCCTCCTCCCTCCCTCCCTCCATCCCTCCCTCCCTCCCTCCCTCCCTCCCTCCCTCCTCCCTCCCTCCAGCCCCTCCTCCTCCTCCTCCTCCTCATCCGCCTCCTCCTCTCCTCCCCTCCCTCCTCCTGTGATCTTCGAGGGCGTCTCGGGGGCGACGGGGCTCCATAGCGCCCATGCCCTGCGGTGGAGCACCGCGCGGTGAGGCGCTGGGGGCAGCTCCAGGTCATTCCGCGACAGAGGAGGAGGGGAGAGGAGTAGGAGGAGGAGTAGAGGAGGATGAGGGGAGGAGGAGGAGGGGAGGGGGAGGAGGAGGGGGAGGAGGAGGAGGAGGAGGAGGAGGAGGAGGAGGAGGAGGACCCCGACAACGACAACTACGACGACCACCATGCAAACATGTGATCTAACACGTTGCGCTGCACCTCGTGTGTCTTGCCCTCTCCCCCCCTGCGCCCGCCCACCAGGTGGACGGACCACCCCCCTGAAAAAGGGGGAGCTCTTTGCATGCCAGCTCCCGGGAGGAACCTTCAGAAGTGCGCTCTTTGTGCGCGCACCGCGCCGACGTGGCCGTCATGCGAGGCAACGCGCCCTCGGGCCACTCACCAGCTTGAGTGAAGTTCGGGGAAGTCTCGGCAGGTGATCGTTTTCCTAATCATTGTTTTGCCGAACGTCGCGGGCCCTCGAGCCCCCCCATCCCCCCCTCCCCCTGGAGAAGATCTTGGCTGTTTTTTGGCGCCTCTTTCGAGCAGGTGGAGCTTCTCCCTTAGAGGGCGCACGGTTACAAACAGTCGCGCTAAGCAGAGGTCCCGAGCCAAACCCCCCACTCTTCCGCCCAATGTCGAAACGCCGAATAAGAAAACGTCGACGAGAGAGCGTCGTTCCTGAGTGTTGGGGTCCTCCAGGGCGCCTCCATTACATTTAATTGCGAGGAGGTGTCGAGCGGGAGCTGTTGTCCCCCTCTAGCCAGGGCGTCTCGGAGTAAGTTGTGCGGACGTATACAGTTGCTTATGGCAAGTCCTGCCACACCGTCATA